GGGGTCTTGCGGTCCTTCCTAGGGTGTTGTTTTGGGATTCAGTTTATGTCAGTTACAAGTTATTCCTGAAAAAGAAAGTTGAAATAATTATTGGTGCAACAGTTACAAAAGTTTTTATAAGGGTTAGCTATGTGCTTACTCATTTGGTCCAGCAACTGCAGCAAACCTGCACTTATCACTACATGGCATTGGACAGAAGGGCGAGAGCCCAGATGTCGCTGGATCGATAACAACAACAACAACAACAACAACAACTCATTTGGTCACTGTTTAGGTTAAAGGACCCTTTCAACATCGTCAGGTTATTTAAGAGATGGAACCTCGGAATTAAAAATCCATCTATGATAGAACCAACCCAAGTATGTGGAGAGCCTTGCCTTAAAAATAACCCAAGTTCAAAATGCTCCCTTGAGGATTCGAACCAGGGCCACTCACTCCGTAGTCCAACGTGATACCAACTGAGCATATGGTGTGCCTCTTTGCTTACTGAAATGGATAGAATTTTTGTGGTATGGTCCTAACAAAAATACCTTATTAGTGTTTTAAGTTTGTGAGAGTTAATTGTATAACTCGTAGTACAGTTTTGCATTGCATTGAAGTTTTGATGTTTACTGCTGGGGATAGATTTTGTATATTGTTTGTATGTGTCTTTAAAAAAAAAAATTGTTCTTTTCTTTTGTTTTATGTTTGTGTGTGCATGTGTGTTGGTGCATTTTACCAGCTGTCACGTGTGATTGTAAGTGAAAAAAGGTAAAGTAAGAGGTGTATTTTTAATCGGGTAGTCTAGTATATATGTGTCCTTTACATTTCATATGTGATATGTAAAGCTAGGGTGCTGGATGGAGAAGGACCGGGAAGGGGGTTGGAGAGAAGAGAATATTTATCTTCAATCCCATTCCAAACCCCTTTCCTTTTTCAAAGGATCTGTTAGATGTAATTACCAGAGTCTTCATGATGAAGTCGTGGCATGATATTTCTTTATGTTTCATTTTGATAGCTATACTGTGGTGCACAGAACGGAAGTGATAAAAAATACTCTCAACCCTAACTGGAAGACGTTTGTCATTTTAGTGAGGAACTTGTGCAATGGAGACTATGACAGGTGAGGGGAAAGTTTTTCTTTTTTTTTTAATTAATGATAATAATTATCATAGATTGCTTTTATATAGAGCTCTATCCCATACTAGTATAAGCTCTGAGCACTTGATGAGTCTGGGCTAATTGGTTTCCTTTGTAGAATGTGTGAATTTTTTTTCTTTTTAATGCACTCACTTATAATATAGTTTATTTCTGACTCATTCACAGTACAGATGGTACCCTTCGAGCTTACTTTTGTTTTGGTTTTAGGAGGAAACTTAAAGGTTTAGCCTTATTGTCTTGTGTAGCCTTGACAGTCAGATAAGTTTAGTATAACAATAGTACAGTGGTCTGAGTAGATCTTCTGGTTTTGATTTTTTTTTTAAAGAGAATTTTATGCTGGTGTTTGCAGCAACTTTTATAACTTGTGTCTTATCAAAACTGTTATACACTGTAGCTATGGCTTTTGACTTGCACATAATTTCCCTGTGTCTTTCCATTGATCCATATTTTTAAAACAATCTGGCAGATGTTGCGGAGAACTATTTCTAGTGCAGATTCTCTTATTATTTCCCTGTGTCTTCCCACAGATCCATCAAAGTAGAGTGTCATGACTGGAATGCTAGTGGCAAGTAAGTAAAAAAAAAATGGTGAAATGGTATAGGTTTAACGCCCCTATCAACACTATTAGGTTATTTAAGAGGTGGGACCTCCGAGTTTAAATCCCATCTCCGAAAGGGCCGAGCTAAATGGAAATTTTTGAATAGTGCCTTTCCCAAAAAGGCAACGTCGTACCAAGCTGAGGCTCGAACTCCCAAACCCGTAATCTCACGATTATGGGTCCGATAGCCTAACGAGTAGGCCACTGACGTCATTCAAGTAAGTCATACAATTTATCGCTTTACAGAGGGTAAGAGATGAAATGTTATGTCAGCAAGCTGGCTTCTTTTGTCTGATGGTTAGGCCACCGGACCCATGGTCGTGAGATTGTGGGTTTGGGGGTTCAAGGCTCAGGTCTGTTCAACATCTTTGGGAAAGGCACTTCACACAAATTTTCCCATTTGGCTTGGTCCTATCGGATGTGGGCTGTTTAGGGGATAGGGTCCCGCTGACCTCCGTTATGGTGGCTAGGCATACAGGAAATTTTACGCACCACTGGTGTACAGATGGCTAGTGCTCAAAGGGTTAAGCGAATACAATCACCAAAATGCCAGTGTGGAGAAGTGGACAGAGCTGTGGAACACGTCCTCAAGCAGTGCAGGACACACAGGGCCCTGAGACCGGAAACGTGGCCAACCACATTAACACCACAGGACAAGTTGTACAGGCCAGCAGAATAACTGAGCAGGATGAGACATTATATGATGGATACTGTACTTAAAGTATGATTACTGTGATATGATCAAGAAGAAGAAAGAAGAAGTAGAGAGAACGAATGAGGAGTCTATGGGGAAAAACGGGCATAGTCACAAATTGGAAATTGTGAGGGTGTCAATTTTAAAAGCTTGTGGACTCATAACTTCATATTTGTTTGATTGGTGGTTTATTGTTATGTTTATTGAATGGGAAATCTAATTATCAACCAACAGTTGAACAGAAATACAGTTATGAGTCAACAAGCGTTCAAAATTGATACCCTCTTGATTTTTTAGTTTGTGACTATTCCCGTTTTGCCGTGGACTCTGCAAATAGGTTGGGCTTCAAGGAGGAACCGCTGAAAATAGTATTGAAAAATAACACAGGTGTTTTTACGCTCTCATGGACTCAATTTAGATAATTTAGAACAGGTATCGGCAAGTGTATCCAAGTCGCAGGTCAGATTAAGCAGTTCCGAATATCTTCTGATGTAGGAAGTCGGCTTTGACCCTGTCTGTCAGTTCCAACCTGGGCTGAGAGGGATACACATCACAGCTGAAAGAGAAAGACTGAGATACTCAATTAAAATGTTCCCCACCTTTGAATCAAACTCGGGTTTCCTGTGAGCGATAGCGAAGTGTTCTATCCTTGTTAATATTTATATCACAGTAGACTTTTGGTCAAAGCCAAACTTTGTCTCTACCCAAAGAAAGAATTCAAGGAAATGATTCATAATTTGGAATATTTTTGCAGTTAAAATTGTATTGCCCTCAGAATGCATGTGGTTTTGCCTACTCTGTCTCTGTGATTATTTTAAATATGTCCTTTATAAGCTAGACCTTCATTAGAGTTTGAGTTGTTACTTCCTCTGTTTACCCATGGTCAAACTTCCCATGTTTACATTTCAGTCACGAGTACATTGGAGAATTCATTACAAACATGCGAGAGCTGAGCTCTAGTCAGAGTCCTGTCTTTGAGGTAAGGGATGAACCAACAAACGTCATGAAAATGGCTATTGATGTTGAGTTGTTTGTGTGGCAATTTAGTAGATAACAACTCCTTTTTTGTCTGCAGCAGATGAGGATAACACTCTCACTGAAAAGAAAGAACAGGGAAGACCTCACTAGAACGCTTGCCATGGACTTATTCGATGAAAATAGTGGCTCTTTTATATTTGCAATTGTTGCTATTGTCTGACATTAACTGGGATTTGGGGCTCTCGTGGCCTAGAGGTTAAGGTGTTGGCCTCTCATTCTAAGGTACCGGGTTCGAATCCGAGTAGTGACCAAAATATTTTCTTCTCTAAAATTGTCTGCTTTCACCTCCTTTCCTGCTCTCTAGCAATGTTCTGTCATCTGCTTTCTTCTCCTCTTTCTGCCCCCACCCCCTCACCTCCTTTGCCCCCTCCTCTGGGCTCCTGACTCTTTCTGCAGCCTTTCTACTGTTACTCCTTGGCTCCTTCTTACTGCTGTCTTTCTGCCACACCCCTGATCTTCTGGTAGGAAAGATCTACACCAAGCCTTCTCGGACAAGGGCGAAAAATCTCGGAGGGTTCGTGTGCAAGTTGCGCATGTTAAAGATCCCTTGGTGGTCTAAAATCGATAAGAGTAGGCTTCGGCCGCCACCCAGGCAAAATTCAAAATTTCCTACCAACTGAAAATATTAGGTGTGTCCCGCGCGCTCATATGACCTTATGCAGTTGCAAGCGCCGTAAAACACTTCCCAAAAAAATAAATAAATAAATAAAATAACTGGGATTTGTAACGGGTCGTTCTGAAAGACTGAACAGTCTGCAGTGTTAAAAGTGCTTCTCTGTCCTTACCCCATTATGACAACAATACCAAATATAGAATGCAACAGGAATTACTATTGCTTGTTGGAGTCTGATTCAAAGACAAAGAAGCAGATGGTTATTAATCATGGATATCACTTGCTGTTACATACTTGAACTAACACAAGCAGTGGTATTTTTAAGGACAAAAAATATTTCCATTTATGTTACTCAGAAAAGTATTGCTTAGAAGTCAGATACGATCTCACAGTAGGTTGTTCATTGAAGCTGTGTGTTTTGGTTATTTCCCCAATGTAATCCTCACCCTCAAAGTCGCAAGAAGAAAAGGGGAAAGGCAGGAGGTGGATGGGGGAATGGCTCTCATGTCTACTTTTCTTCACCTTTCACCTCTTTTGAACAGGGATTTTCTATTTAGTGAAGTTAAGCAACATGCCTGGGTGATTGGCGGGTACTCTGGTGTGGTTTGCTCCTTCTTTCCTGTCAAACACCTGTTGTCCTAATCTCTCCTCCTCCTTTTTTTGTTTTTTACTCTCTTGTATTATTTCTAATCTTCTGCACTTATATGACCTAGTTGTGTTGCACGTTCAGTAAAATTCTTACTGAAACCAAAAGGGGGGCTCTCGTGGTCTAGAGGTTACGGTGTTTGCCTCTCATACAATAGGTGCAGGGTTCGAAACCTGATTGCAAAGGAAAATTTTCTTCTAAAATTTTCTCCTTTCACCTCCTTTGCTTCTCTTTAACCATGTTCTGTCGTCTGCTTTCGTCTTTACTTTCTGCTCCCATTGTCAGACTGTATTTGTTTTTGCACCATCCCTCTGTTTCTAAGATAATCAGTCTTGATCGGTTGTTGTATTTCCAGCTGACTGATCCCAAATCAAGGAAGAAAAAGAGCAGTGGAAAGGTAAGATGCATAAACGTCTATGAAGACTAATCAATCTTGTACCTTTATGAAACTTTATGCACTGTCAACAACTTCTCTGATTCTCTCTTGAAAATTACGAGTCGTGATCTAGCGACTGCTCTTTATACAGTGGTATCGGTAGTTTTAATATTTTGTCCTTTTATAATATATTCGTTTGACTTTTTTCATAAGAGAGCCATACTCAAAATATTGGCATATAAATGTTGGAACAGCATAAATTATCAACGTTCACTTTTCATGTTTTTTTTACTTAAATACAATCTCTAGTGAATTTTTTTGTGCTTTCTAAAAAAAAATATTGATGTGTTATGAAGATAATCAGGAAAAAACTTACTCTTCTATGCTACAAATGCACTCCTGAGGGATGGTGTGGTCTAGCAGTTGACATAGAGAAAATCAGGTGCTCATACTTTGTTGGCCCAGGGGTAGAAGGGTTAAAAAAGTTAATCCTTTCGTTGCCAGGAGGTATGCGTTCCTACTGTCAGCACTGACTTTCACCTGAGCTCGTTACCCAGGACAGCAGTCCCGTGTCTCAGTGTTAATGGATGCGTGGTCTAGATCAAGCTAACTTGTGACATATTTCCGACCCCGGGTTTTTCATTGTGTCACTTTTCTCACTTTTCTCATTCCTTATTTCCTCCCGTCTTTTCCATAAATTTGAATGACTTGCAAATCTAAGTCAAAAAGTGAATTTTTTTGCTTCTTTAAAGTAATTTTGGTGTTTTTGTCTTACGACAGCACGCAGACGCCTACAGTCCTAGTTCTGTGCTTTTTGATCGCATGCTAGCCTAACAGTAAAGTAGTACCAGCAAATTTAGTACTGATATGTGCGTTTTTTTTCTTCCTGAATACGATTCCATGCAGTGCTTGTTGCTAAAACTCTGTACTCCCCCCGGGGCAGTGCCACTGACTGTAGTGGCTTTAGGCCATTCCCAAAGGGGGGGAGGGGGGCATTTCTTGTTCATGCACAATAGAATTGTAAATGGGCTGATTCATCATGTCACGCTCATAACTGTGCCTGATCTACAACAGGGAACTGCTGCTTTTTCTTTCCTAATCCTTACTATTGTCATTCTCCTCTACTTCTTTTGTATGTTTGTCGCTCCCTTGTGACCTGCTACTTCTGGGGTGCCTTGATAGGGGAAGCAGACTTTGTGCTGTTGAAGCTAGAGAGGTGAGCAGAGTAAGTCTGATTCCCTGTAGAGACTTCTCTGTTAAAACCCACCCCTTGGCACTCATATGACCTTATGCAGTTGCGAGCGCCGTAAAACCCTCTACTAAAAAAACCACAAAAAACCAAAAACTCTGTACAGAAGAATTAGAGCCAGGTTATTAGCGTGCCGTACATGTAATGTCATACAGATAACCAGGAGTGGCAAATTTTGTCAACTTCCGTGATGTCATGACATACCTAGGTACGTCATAAGGCAACGAAGGGGTTAATAACTAATTGTTTGAAAATGTGGATTTTTGCAACATTTTTAGTTATTTAAATATTGTGTGTGTGAGTGGGAGTGTATGTGTGTCTAAGTGTGATTGGTTCATCTAATCTGCACAGTTTGCAACTTTTTATTTGTATTTATTATCAGGTACAAGTTTTGAGCTGCCAGATTGAACAACAGCAGTCGTTCCTTGACTTCATCAAGGGAGGGTAAGTGCATTGTGGTTGAAAAAGTAATTTGTTTTTGCCAATATTGCTCGGGGAAATTGTATGGTGGGGAAAAAACCCAGACGCTCAATCTTTTTTAGACATTGCAAAATGTGGGTGCCTTATAAAAAGCTTTTATTTATTTTCATGCAGACCTTACCAAATTTCTTTTTCATTACACCTCACCATTTGACAAAGTTATGTTCAGTGTAAGTTAGGAACCATTGGAAGTGCAAATCTGAGAAATACAGGTTTAATGGGATCGTCATTTTCTTGAACATATTTGGGGAATAATTATACTTGTAGTAAAGGAAGCACAATTCTCGCTTTAAAGGAAGGGGAAAAAAAAGCTTTCAAAGTGTACCAAACATGGTGGTGGATTTTGAAGAGGAGCTCATAAACAGTTTGTAATTAATATTCATTTCCAGCTCAAAAACTATGTACATCTAGAAACTGCTACAGAAATAAAAATAATTTAACACTTTGCAGTCAGTTTGCGCAATAAAGCGCCAGTGAAAATTATCCGTTCCTGTCACCTGGCGCAGAAGCTCACCTGGCTGGGTGATCAGATGGGGTATTTTGTACAGCTGGCTGTGTGACTGCAAAGTGTTAAATATACATTTATTATCATATGTATTTTCAGAAAAAGCAACGAGGGAAAGCAATAGAAGCAATGTGGATTAACCCACAAAAGAAGATATTTTATAGGTATCAAACTGTAGCTTGTATTCTGTACATGGTTTTCCCAATCTGTCTCACATTTGATGAATGAGCTATTTGTTTTATATTTGCCGGAGGGAACCAGAGATAGGATGGAATTTTTTGCTGGCTTATTTGATTAAAACTGATTTGACTTTTTTCCGTGTAAAATTAAATCCCTCTTCGCAAATAAATTCCAAAGGACTGTGCTTTTCTAGTAGTGTGATAGACCAATAGATCAATTGGAAAAGTCATTTTGAGAATTTGAAATATTGGAAAGTCGTATCAAGCAGAAATCTGTGGTGTTTCAATCAGGAAAACAAAATTTGTTCAACTCTCGTTCATGGTGTCTGATGCCCTTTTAAATTATACAGTGACCTGTCTTAATTCCGTGGTTTTTTTCTTCAGAATGCAGATGAATTTCACCGTGGCAATAGACTTCACAGCATCAAATGGGAACCCTCAGAATCCAACATCTTTGCACTATTACAATCCTTATCAGCTCAACCAGTATGCTGCGGCCCTTTCAGCAGTGGGAGAAATCATCCAAGATTATGACAGGTGGGACTGGATATAATTTTCTCTTTTTCTCTTGCTTTCCCCTGTTAGAACGTACAGGCATTTGGTTGTATGTTTTTCCACTCACAGGTGCAATTTGTTTCTATGTAAAAGCCCTTTCCTTCTCACTAGCACATTGTGCCCCTTGTCTATGAAGAAGTCATGTTTCTGTTTGTCCTCACCAAAGCATTATCAAGGTGATGCATTATGGCAATAGATTTTAGCAGATGAAGGCCCTGCTTTTGTAGTTCATGGCAAGAGTTTTAATAGGTTTTTCTTTCTCCCTAATCTGGTCCCAGTTCTATGATGTGGAGTATCAATCTTACTGTGCTTGCTTCTAAACAGTGAAGCCACTTTTTTCTTCTGTGCATGGTGGCTAAATTTTCACCTCTGCCCCACCACCCTTAAAAAATAAAATACAGTTCAAGAGTTTTTGTTGTTTTTTTTCCCCTAGATGATTAGACCAGCATTTTTTAAGCCTTATTTTAAGATTGGTTTGCTTATTTGTTGCATCTACTGATCATGGTGTACACTAAAATAAATTTTTGGTTATAAAATAACTTTTTGTTTAATATTCTGACTCCTGTCTTGTTTGCCTCTGGCTCAACAGTGACAAAATGTTCCCAGCACTGGGCTTTGGAGCGAGAATGCCAGATGGCTCAGTGTCTCATGAGTTTGCCTTGGTAAGTAAATTGTGAAGCATGGGTGGTTTTTGCAGGTGCTCTAATGTGGTTTGTTTCTTCTTTCCTATCAAACATCTATGGTTCTCTCCTCATTTTTTTTGGTGTTTGTTACTCTCTTGTAACACCTCTAATCTTCGTTACGATACTTATATAACTTTGACTGCATAATATGTTGTATTTCAATCTGTTAATAGTGAATGAGGTCTTATTGGAAAAATCTTTTTTGTTCAGATTTTGTAAGAGTTTTACGGCACTTGCAACACAATAAGGCCACATAAATGCCGAAGATTAGAGGTGTTACAAGAGATCAGGATGATAGATATGTAAAGAGAGGATCATTGTAAAATTCATGTTCATGGAGATATTTAACTTATTTTTTATAACAAGTGTATATACTATGCCTTTTCCACTCTAATTCAACGTTCATTGAACATGACCGTTGTTTTGTGAGTAATGACTATATTCCAGTTATTTATTTAGTCATTTAACTCATATTGACAAACTATCTGCTGACTTGTACAGTCAGGCTTTCTCATTTATGGGTTTTTTTCTCTCCATTTTTCTTCTAGAATTTCCAACCTCAGAATCCTTACTGCGCTGGTATAGACGGAATATTGGCAGCATATTATCACTCTCTGAACTGTGTGCAGCTGTATGGTCCCACAAATTTTGCCCCAGTTATCAACCACGTGGCCAGGTAATGTTCATATTATGTGACCTTTAATACACATCACCCCTGCTGGTGGGGGACCCCATAGTTTTACTATGGGGGAGCTAAGAATACACCTACCGTGATACTGCGTGTCGTAAGAGGCGACTAAATGTGCATAGATCTGATCGCCTGAAAAGTGCCAGTTTGCGGAGGGCCAACTACCCAACCCAGTAAAAAACAGTAAGTTACAGAAACACGGACAAACACAGCTTTTTATTTTTCGATCTTGGGAGACGGAGGAGCTTCTGTATCAGCAGGAACAATGAAAGTTTGGATTGAAACCCACAGGGCAAGAGATCAAGGGGAAGACCTCGTGGAACCTGGAGAAGAATCACAGAAATCAATGTACAGAAAAGTGGGAAGACATGAAATGACATCAAGAGGCTAGCTCAGGGTAGAGAAAAGTGGAGGGTGTTTGTCCGTGGCCTATACCCTGGTGCAGGGTGAGAAAGGCAATGATGATTTAATACACAGGGAAAATTTGTGTGGTCAGTAGATGGTTGTGAAAGCACCTTTCCACTGCTGCAAAATTGCTTTTTCTATGGATGTCAAACAACGGAAATATCTAATGTCTATAGTGTTTTCTTTGCCTACTTTATTTCATCCTTCCTCTTGTACCTGTATGGCGTCAGGGAGAAAGAACTTTCTGTCTTTAGCAAGCTGGATGGCCTGGCTGGGTGGGATGTTGTGGGTTTACAGGATATCCTTTGCACCCTCGATCTAGGTCTTCCTTGGTCTTCCTCTTGCCTTGTACCCTGATATATTTTTTTTTAGTACGCTTTACTGGCAAGCTGCTGAGGTGCCATATGTGTCAAAATGTCCACATCAACTGATTGTTTGCCTCTGAATGTATTGGAGAACAGGTGTTGTTCCCATAATTTCTCTGGTCCTGTTGTTTCTGATCATGTCCAATCTTTTGTCGTCAGCTCTCCATAGACATCTCATCTCGCAGGTGGTTGTCTTACATTCCAGACTTTTAGTCAAGGTCCTTGTCTGGCATTGGTACGTCAAGGTGGGGGTGAATGATAAAGATATCTATAAATAGTGTTTGCAGTTTGGTTGTTTTTTTTTCTGTTCTGATTCATACTACTCCTTTATTATTCATGTTTTTTTGGACACTCTGTATGGCTACTTAGAAATACAGTCAAACCTTTTGAAGACAACCACCTGTTGTCGTAGAGGAAATGGTCATCTCAGACAGGTCGTTCTCTTGGACTGTACTGTCATTATGATCGAAAAAAAAAGCAAAGGTAAGGGGGGGGGGGGAGTGGATGTCTACAGGCGATTGTCTTGGACAATTGGTGGTTAGAGCAGACTCAAAAAACTACACTATTACAGTGACTGTAACATTATTTAATTAGAGGGTTACTTGTACTTTTTGTTCTAAAAGGCAAAGTCTTCGTTCTTTTGTTGTATCTTATGAGTCCTGTATTGTGGTTTGCGGTGTCCTCCTTTCAATATAAAAAACAAAAATTGCATGAAAATCCTCACATGAAGTCGAAAGCATTAAGAAACTTGGACTGCAGCAGTCTGTTGAAAGGAACAGAATTTTTAAGCACATTGCATTTTTGCAGACCCCAATTGAAGGGCTATTTCTGTACATTCATTTGTTTGTTGGAGTAAAGAAAAGAAAAACACATTGACGCAATACTGGTCATTTAGTGCTGGGAAAAGGTAAGACAGGCAGACAGAAGCAACTGTGGGAAAATAAAGAAATAGGACCTACTAGTGGCGCCTTCCAACCACCTGCACTGTTAATTTGTGACTACCATATTGTTCTTTAAACATTAATAATAATAATGTTAAGAAAAGCATTTGTATAGCTAATGTTCCCCGTAACAGCAAGCTCTTTGTGCTTTGTGATCTATACTATTACCTCAGCAGACCCTGAAACACTCAGAAATATTTTTGGCTTCCCCGGAAGTATACAGTGCAAGCAGCCAATTAAATGTACAAACACTTTCAAATTGACAAGATCTTTCTTTTTTTATTTATAGCCAGATACCAATTCCTACCTCTCTCTCTCTCTATCTCTTCTGGCGCTATGGCTTCATAAACGGTCAGCGATGCCGACAGCACGCAGGAACTCAGCACTTTCCCGGGGGTCCTTAAAAAGTGCTGAAAGTGGGTTACTGAAGTGTCCCAGCAGACGGGTTCTGGTACGATAGCTGGCGGGGCATCTCAGGAACACATGGTCCATAGTTTCATCCTCCTCCTTGCAGGCTCGACAGGATGGATCTGGGTTGTCCGCTGGCGCAATTTTGTGGAGATATGATCTCAGCTTGGGCGATTTTCTACCTGGGTGCAGTGAGGAAAAATTAGTGTAAAGTGCCTTTTTTCAAGTACATTAACATTAACTCCCATGTTTTATGCCCCAGGTTTGCTGCAGCAGTGAGGGACGGCAGTGAGTTCTTCGTGCTACTCATCATAACTGACGGAATCATCACAGACATGCCTCAGACCAAATCGGCCATTGTCAGCGTAAGTTCTCACAGATGTTACATTCCTACTAATGTCTGTTTTTCCATTAGTGTTTTTTTTCCTCAACTACTCATTTACCATGTGCTCTGATGTGGTTTGCTCCATCTTTCCTATCAAACAGTGGTCATCCTTATCTCTCCTCCTTTTTTGTGTTTGTCATGCTCTTGTAACCCCTCTAATCTTTGGCACATATACGACCTTATTGTGCTTTGGTTTTCCTTCTAGCAAAATGTGGAAATTAGGTTTGAATGTATCTAAAACGTTTTCATGTATGCCGTGATGTTCAGATAGAACAAAGATAAACCAGAGCCATAAGTTGATGACATTTACTTAATGAATGCAAGCGTTAATTTTTTCTGTCTGCCTAAGTTGATGACATTTACTTTATGAATGCAAGCGTTAATTTTGCGTTAATTTTTTCAGTCTGCCTTTCCCTTAGCTTTGGATTCATGTAAAACTTCCTCACTTCAGTTTTTCATCTACTTATTCTCTTTCCATTTTTCTCAAAGCTTTTGTTTTGTTTGGTTGTTTGATTTGGGTAAAGAGTTATTTTTTTTGTTGGATAAGTAAGATTTAAAACATCGGCAAACATCAATGGTGTTGAGACATCAGGGTAAGTATTAATTATTGTTAGGTGTGTTAGGCATTTTAAAAAAATTGTTCTGTATTGGTGTAATATTGTGTATATGGTATTCTTTGTGTGTATATTTGTGTGTTAAATAATTGTGTATTTATGAATGTATGTTTGCCTTTGTAATCCAAATTTGTTCTTGCGGATGAATAAAGTGTATTTATTTTTAAATTATTTATCTTTGTTTATTAATTATATTCTTGCAACTTAAATGTTATTTTTCTTTGATCTCTTCTCTTTTTCTTTACTTCTCCTTGATTTGATATTGACATTTGCTAACGTTGAATTTTTGGCTTTTTATGTTTTAGCTTCTAATATCAGTTTTTTAATTTCATTTTCTGCTCTGTTTCAGGCTTCTACACTGCCCTTGTCTATCATCATTGTGGGTGTAGGTGACGCAGACTTCACAGGTAAATTGTGGCTCTCGTCAAATATATGAAATCTGTGAATCAACAGAGAGAAAGGGAAGACAGAATTAGGGACAAAAATGTTGTACAATGTGCTGTCAAAGCATTATGTCTGTTATGTTTGTTTAATTATGGTAAGCTATATTGTCAGAATATGTTTGTTGAACTGTTGTTTTTTGCATAACTATTAAGACTTTTAGGCGCGGAGAAATGACATAGCTAATCCTTAGTGTTTTTGTAGATCTGGTAATAGAATAGTTCTGATTTTGTTTCTGCTTTGAAATATTAGTGGGTGGTTAGCGGGTGCTCTGGTGTTGTTTGCTTCTTCTTTCCTATGAAAAATCTATCATCCTTATCTCCCCTTCTTCTTTTTTATGTTTGTTACACTCTTGTAACATCTCTAATCTTCTAGCGGTCATATGACCTTATGCAGTTGCGAGCGCCATAAAACCTCTACTAAAACTAAACTTGAAATATTATAATATGCATTAAGGTTGAGAGTGAATGTGTGAAGTTATGATTTTGCACTGGAAAACCAAACATTTGTGTTTTTGCAATTACAAATTTTAAAAAATTGTTTTGAAATGAAAGATTTGGGGGCTCAGTAGCTCACCGGTGTTTGCTTGTCAACTCAGAGGTCTGGAGTTTGTTCCCAGTCAGCGTCAGGTGTTTTTTTGGTCATTTTTTTTTAAGCCCCTTGATTATAAGGTAGGTGGGATCAATTACTCACTTCTTGGTTAAGGATGAAAAATTTTGGATGTTCAGTGTGGAAGTGCCACATGTTAAAAGTCCCTTGGCTGGCAGTTCTATAATTGAAAAGAGTAAGCCCTCCAGGTCGCTGTTTGAGCAATTTTTCTAAATCAATTCCTACCTAAAACTGAAGCCACTTTTGTTGGTATAAATATGTAGAGTACCTTAAAAATCGGCTCGCGGCTGCCTGTTAAGCAAGGAATGATGTACATTCTCTTTGGATAAAACAATCAGGTACATAAAAATCGACTGCACAGTGAGATGAAGAACTTATAGTCAGTTACATATAGAGCTCTAGCAGGGGTGCAATGAGACGAAGAAACTAAAGACCTAAATCAAATAGTTCTTTTAGTAAGAAGAGTGTCATTCATCAATATGACAGGAACTTATTAAGGAAAATCTTGAAGCATGCCAGCCTACGTGCTTTTGCATTTGTTCCTGAAAAGAGTCAATTTAGAGGTACACCCATTGCTGTAATGATCACATTGGTGCTCCCAGATTACTATTTAGTTGCCATCTTGTCTAGCTATTTAACATGTAATTTATTTTGGAAATTGTTTTGTTGTATACCGTATTGTGTTCTTTGTCACACAGCTATGGACATCTTAGATGGAGATGATCAAAGGTTAAGTGCCAATGGAAAATATGCTGAGAGGGATATTGTTCAGGTATTTGTGATTATAAATTCTATTTCAATTTGTTCTCTATGTAAAATTCTAAATTCTATAGAAGATTAAAGTTATTTTAAAAAAATATTTGTAAAATATATATTGTCATCAGTGAATACAGAGGGGTTTTTTTTTCTGTTTTTATAATCTGAGAGACACTATGTGTCTTGTTGGACCTAATTTATGTATTTGCTCATATGAAATGTTATGTGGGAAGTGGCTGAAAAAGGTAATCAAATGAAATTTTGTTAATTTGTTCACATGTAAATTCTAATGATGTATATAAAGTTTTCAAGTTCAATGACTGAAAATATTTTGGATGAGCTTTTCTTTTTGTATTTCAGTGATTTCTTTTCAAATGCAATATTAAATGAGCACGAAAATGATTTACCCCCCTCTCCACCCCTCTTTTTAAATCAGTTTGTGCCGTTTCGCAATTTCTTGAGCGGTGGAGGCAGCATGCATGTGTCCCAAGCATTCTTGGCCAAGGAGGTTTTGGCTGAAGTACCCGACCAGGTCTTGTCCTACATGAAGCGCTACAACATCAAGGCCAGGCCTCCAGCAGCCAATCAGAATGCAGCCCTAGCCCCGGCTCCAGCCCCTCAAGGTGCACCCGCAGCTGCTCCAGCCTTCCCACGGCCCGGAGCACCCATGGAGCGGCCTCCCCCTTACCAAATGTAAAGATTGCTAAAATTTCCAATGTATGTGTGCTCTTGAGATCTTTACAGTGGGGGAACCTAAAGCATTGAAACTCTTTTTCGTCTCTGTAATCTACTGGGCAAGGGTCATAGTTAAACAGGTATTCATAATTTAGATGAGTTTTACGCGTTAGTTTTTGTTGAAAGCTTGAAAAAGTTGCTGCTACTCAAGCTTTGAATTTATGGAAAATTCTGGTATTGTCTGTGTGAATCCTCGACTTTTTGTATCATTGATATTATCAGGATTTGTCTTTCCTCCAGTTTTCATTCGCACTTTTTGCTACACAAGGGTTTGATAGCTCTATTTCATTTTGCTCCTGCAAAAGCTTGGGTAGCAATAATTTTAGATAAGAATTTGTATAAGAATGTTACAGACTGTAACTGTTGTACAGTTATAGAGTAATGGCTGTTGGGTCATTGAGTCAAAGCATATTGGTGTGATCCAAGTCAAACCTTGCCAAGGCTGCTTCTGAGATAAAAAGATGGTAAAAGTCAGTTTTTCTCTATTTCTTCTCTTGCAAGTAGGAAGTTGTAAAAAATTGTGTGTGCTCCTAATCCTATGTAACATTGTATCTGAATTCATGGTCGCTTTTGGTATGTAAATATTTTTATAATCTGAATCTGAATATCAGGGGTGTTGTGTAAATTACTGATTAATTCTGTTAACTTAATGTCATTCTAATTTTTATAAAACTGTGTTTTATTTACCTCTACATATTTTGTACTCTGTAAAGGAAATATCCTTGTAAGAGTTTGCTCTTTCTATATACTTTTGTTTCTTATTCTGAACTCACTGTTGCTAGGAGGTTTTACTTAGACTTAGAGACTCCCACATCTTGAGATGCATGAGGCAATCATTGATTATTAGTAAGATCTGTCTGCAATCTGAATGGGGACATCACTCTACTTCTTGTCTATAAACTTCAGGTTTTTCATCATTGTCTGTGTCCAGTTCATCTCTGCCTCTCTTCCCTTTAATTTTCCAGAATGCAACCGGATGGGAAATTCTGTGATCTTCCTCTCCTCTAACATACACATTTGTAGTGTGAAGTCTTTCCGTCTGATGTTGAGGATCTTGCGGAGGCACTTGTTGTTAATAAAGGAGTCCGGTGGCCTTTCCTGTTCATTCTTCAGGTGTCATGAATCAGAACCATATAGAATTACCCACAGAACATTTTAGTTTTATAATTTCAGCTTCAGCTGGGAAACGAGTTTCTTATTTTCCCAATTTCGTTGAGCTTGTAGGAGGCTTGTAAGGCTTTACCTATCAGTAGTTTTTCAATGCATTTCAGTATATTTCAGCGCTTATATCGTCTAGTATAGTTTCCTTATTGTTTTTCTTTTACAAAAAAATGCTTTTTCCACCTCATTCTTGATGATAGTTTTTAGTGTTATTTTCAGGTCCGTATCACTTTCTTCAATGGCTGCTATAAATCTGGTTCATCTTTGGTCACCCTATGCCTCTCTTTCCTTCAGTTTTCCAGGATGCAGCCTGATTATTCAGGCCGTTTAAGTACAGTGTGGAAGTGCTGTGCTTATCCTGCAAGTTTGTTTTCATCCTTTGTGATGTTATCATCCGTCTTTGATTTGATGGTAAATTTCTTCTTTTATTTATCTGTCCAGTGATCTTCTTTGTGAAATTGTAAAGTGTTCTCTTTTCATTGCATTTGGCTGTATCCTCTGCTAGGGAGGTTTATAGTTCTAGCTGTGCTCTTATGTATGGGCAGTTGGCAGGTGCTCTGGTGTGGTTTACTTCTTCTTTCCAATCAAACATCTGTGGTCCTTTTCTCTCCTCCTTTTTTAACTCTCTTGTAACACATCTGATCTTTGGCATTTATATGACCTTATTGTGTTGCAAGTGCTGTAAAACTCTTCCAAAAAACAAATGCTCTTTTGTTGCATTGTGACGTCTCTGTCCCTGTTAATTTATGGTCAAAGTCTATTGCATTGTCCGTTGGTTAGGTCTGCTTTTTGGGGGTGGGTCTTTTTGTGTTCTTCTATGAGCTTTTAAGTGTCATCCTTAATTCATTCTTCTCTCTCTCAAAACATTTAGTGGATGGATGGCAGATGCTCTAGTATGGTTTGCTGCTTCTTTCCTATCGTCCTTATCTCTTTTTTTTTTCTGTTACCCTCTTGTAGCAGCTCTATTCCTCGACACTTATATGACCTATTTGTGTTTCAAGTGCTGTAAAACTCTTGACTTAAACCGAATCAGTATCACTTTTCCAGCATTGTCCATTGTCAGTTTCATTTTGGCCCACCTCACCAATCCACTTCATCTTCCAGGAGTAGCAGTAGTATTGTATCAGTTTGAAAGTTTCAGCTGGAAGGATTCTTTGACCTCTTCGTTTTTTTTTTTCAGCTTTTCTACGTTTAGGTGCTTTGAAATTATTTGTTTTGTCTTTTGTTGTTTCAATTTGATCTTGGGTCTTTTGGCAATGCAAGGTGGTGGTCACTGTATATCTGCTCCTCTGTAAACTCTTATGTTATGCAGGAAGTTTAATCTCTATCTTAGCCTAACAGGAGCATGGTCTATCCCTATGTTTCAGCATGACTGTCTTTGGATATCCACAAAGTTTTGTGCATTTATATTTCAGCGGTTGAACTTTGCAGTCCCAATTTTCAGATCACTCTGAACGCAGAGTTCTATGAATCTTATTCTGTTATAGGTAATTTCCCATATTATCTTTATCCTGTATCCTAAGGTCTGTGGTTTATTTATTTAAGGGTTTATCTTGCTCGGCTTCCAGCTGTTTGGTTGACAAAACTTTTTTTTTTATTGACCGAACAGGGTGGAGTTTGTACTGGCACAAAAATCCCCACACCCATCGCTTCCAATGCTCCTTTTCTTCTTTTATTCTGCTGAAGAGTACATGAACACCGTCACACACCTGTTCACTCTTCTAACTGTCAGCTCAAGTGAAATATAGAGCTTATTTTGAAAGTTGTCAGTTTTTGTAAGTTTGTTTTGCTGTATGTTTTTGTATATTTACCAATTTTTTACTGTGAACTATTGTCTGTTCGCTTCAATAATCCTGTGATGTCAAAATATTCACCTCTGCTTCTGATTTAATCCATCGGTTGTTTTTTATATTTCATGTTGATACTTGACGTCTACAAGTTGCTCAGTTTTTGTAAATATTGTCATCTTATTAAAAAAAGCAAAATATTTGTGGTCTTTAACATTTACTGGATCTGCAGATATTAGGTGCTATTCTCAGCCATTATTAGTCAGATTCACAAACTTAATCTGTTAAGTCTTTTACTTTTTGCAACACGATGCAGACTTTCCTTCGGTAAATCGCAGTCACAATCACAGTTTGTGTTTTGTTCCTTCAGGGTCGTATTCTTATTTTTGTACTAAACAGTAAAAGCAAAAATATTAAATATGTCTTGAGAATTTTTTTCTTTTTCATCCTCTTGTCATAATTGTTAACGATTTAATACTTTCAAATATCAAGTTTCTTGTGTGTTGTCCACAGCCCCCACCCTCCTGTGTTTCAAAGCATTGTCTTCAAGTTTTTAAGGCCTCTTTTTTTTTCCTTTTTTCTATCTGAATTATGCACAATGTATTCATGAAGGTAGTTATGTGGTGGTCTACTAAGAGAATATTGTTGTAACTGGGACCAGTTCCCATTTTATATGTACGCAATGTGTTTGTCACACTGCAATCCTTCAAGGTGTATAATAAGGTTGAGCTTCAAAATTATTTTTATCCACACCATATTCTTTGCTGTTTTTTAGTAGTGTCTTTGCCTCATGTCAAACATTTTGCCATCAGTGAACAACTTTAAAAATGCCAGTTATGTTTCTTTTAGTTTTGTATGTCAGTTAATTAAGTTAATAGGTACTTTATATCAATGCACAAGGTGTTTTTGTCATCAAGGTACCAAATCGTCTGCACATAGCTGAGAAACTAGCCCGATGCTCTCGTACAGCAGTTGCAGAAGACGTATTTTCCACTTTTTAGCTTGAAGAAATATGGGGATGGGATCTTATACTGTACACAATAAACTGTATGTAATACATGCCAAGATTAGTGCATAATCAGTAGACTTTGCTTATACTCAAAGCCCTTTTATCAAGAAATTCCTGATATTGTGAAAGGATTTCAAATCTGCAGGGCTTTTTCCCTCTTTATTATTACATCATATATATTATTTCCACTTTATACGAAATATGCTGAACATTAAGAAATTCTTTGGTCCCGGGAAATTCCTGTTGTCAGGGTTTTACTGTGGTTGAAAAATGAAATAACTTATTAACAAATATCATAACTGTTGCAAGAAAAATACTTTACAGGATGAACAAAAAGATTTGAAGCTATTATTTTTCATGTGACAGACAATGTTTTTCTTCTCGGAAACTAGTCAAATGTGATCTTATATTGCGAATTCAAACAAATTTAAAACTAGTCGTACTAATACTATGGTAGTGGTAGATTTGGGTAAGGTTTATTTAATGATACGATGGAAATCCATATGGACATCTATTTTGAGCGTGTTTGTTATGATTCAGGACTTATTAACTTATTAAGCCATAATTTTTTAGGCTATAAAATCTCAGCCTGCAATAATTCATTTGTATTCTCAAATAGGTGAGAAGTCCTTAAATAATTAGCAATAAGATCATTAGATTTTTTTAGTTTTATGATTTGGCATCGGTCCGAATCTAGGGATATTTTGTACTTCAAAATACTGTTCATGAAATTGTCAGTGTGTTTGTTTTTATAATTGATGTTTTACTGACCTCACTAACATTTATCACTCTAATGAAATAGGTCTATGCACCTCCTTTAGATGTACCCAGAGACCAGGCAGTGGCTTTTTTTTAACCTTTCGGTGAATTTCTGTGATAATGTTTTTATTGTCATTACTGTTGTAATCCCAACATTCTTGTTTGCATTTTTCATTGCTGATGTGGAGTGAAGAGACTTATTGTATATCTTTGAGTGATTCATGAAGTGATTCATGAGAGCGCTGTGGGTAAATGAATGATTTGATACCAGTAAATGTAACTGATTCTTGTCAGTGTAATGGCAAGATCATTGAAAAGAAAAGATATATAATATTATAAAAAGGAGGACATTGGAAAGGTTGAAGGAAAAAAAAATGACAGCAGAGGAGGAATTTTTAGATAAGAAATAAACAGAGTAGGATTGATGAGAAGCAGCATTGGGGAACTGGAGGAAGAGAAAAAGAAGGAGTGAAAGAGTGAATAGAAAGAGAGAGAAAGAGAGTGAATGGAAAGAGAGAGAAAGAGAGTGAATGGAGAGAGAGAGAGAGAGAGAGAGAGGGGCGGAGGGAGGGAGGGAGGGAGGGAGGGGGGGGAGGGAGGGAGAGAGAGAGATGCGTACAGTTGATGCCACAGTTCAACCTTTGAACATACGAATAAACATTCTTGAGAGAACTGTCTTCCTCCACAGAAATGACAATAGCCTTGTATGGTCATTCATAATCACATTTGCACGGTTAAGTGAAATATTGATCACCATTTTGATGTTTGAACTTAGAATAGGTAGAGATTGTCAGGTTTCTGAATTTGAAGCGACTTACAGGCTGTCTGGTTGCTTTGTTCTAATGTGTGAGACTGATTTTGTCACTGTTTTGGGTGCCTTATGGGAGTGTTTGTCTAAAAATGTTGGAAATGACTCTAATGAGAAATGGTTCAATGAACCTAGTAATCTGAGTCTCTCTAAATGGATAAGTGATTTCTAAACATTTGTTAAAGTAAGCTTGGAGAGTGAAGCCTTCATACTCACAACAATTTCAACATCCAACATCAAAGAGCAGGAGTGAAACCAGTAACTGCCAGATGCCATGGTGAGCTGACATTTTATATATCACAACTATAATGATTATAATAATGTACCCTGGTACCGTACATATAAAAAAAATCTTGCATTATCTTTAGATATAAAATATCTAGTCTAAGTGGGGAACAAGACTGATTGAAAAAAGCAATGAGAAAAACAAATGACATGATGTAAGTAGAAAGAAAATGATGAGACCTGTACCTGTAATCACTCCATACATTTAGTTAGTATTAGTAGTATGGGGAGCTTGTGTCTCAAAACTAGTTACAGTTATACCATTCAAGCTTTCTTTGTTATTTGTAGAAAGCTAACTTAATGTATTTTTGCATGTTGCTTAAAAATATGGGAATGTTTCCCAGACCAGCGTCTATGGAATAATGTTTAGGCTCTGTTGCCATTGCACACAAAAGATGGGAGTCCGATTTTCATATGGAGAAGTCTATTTTATCAAGTATCTCCATCTTTCCGCTGGGATATAGTATCCCACTCAGTCCAGCATGCTGTCCTAAAGCAGCCTGCCTCCTAGAGAACCTAAACTGTGTCAATAGGGGTGTAATCCTGCACAGTGATTTTACGAAGTGCAAAGAAGTTTTCTTAGGCTTTTCTTTGATCTGAATAAAGCTGCAGCCAGTTTGTGAGAAATGATAGATGCATTTCTCTTGCCGTAGAAGTGTCTTTTAGTGTCTGGGACTGGGTGATCATGCTTCCCCTAACACTGGACCATGCATTGTTCTCAGACTAAGGTTTTCAAGCGTCACAGGTGTAGATTTATATATTATTATATTCAGGATTTCTATTTCAACTTGCATGAAGTATGACATTGATTGTTCAGAGCAAAGTCAAATGCAGTTTCATTTTGTCCTGTCGTGAATTTTATTCAGTGAGCATTCAAATTACCGGTACAATGTTTTCATAAAGGTCTTACGTACATACATTTTGATTGTTTGTAAATCATTTTTAAAGACCGCATGCTTTACATCTGCATTGTACGTTCATTGGTTTCGTGACTTGTAAAGCATGTGTGACACAGCATTTTAATTGTTTCCTTTTACATTTTATATAAAAACAAGCATATGTTATGTTTCCAGTGCATAGCTATTGTCTAATATGTGTATTGTGTATACGCTTGTTCATATTTCCTAAATAAAATGGTCTACAAAATGGCTTGGTAACAATATATCTATTCTTAGGGCCTCTTTTCATTTTTTTTTCTTCGCTGTTGTACTGCATGTTTCACAATATAGTAAAAATTGGTGAAATGGTATAGGTTTAACGCCCCTATAACTCGATCGATAAAACAACAACACCCCTATATTCACTGTTAGGTTATTTAAGGCGGGATTTCTCAGTTTAACGTTCATCTCCGAAAGGACCGAGTCAAGTGAGAAATTCGTGTCAAGTGCCTTTCCCAAGGACACAACATTGGACTGAGCTGAGGCTCGGAACCCCGAACCCGCAATCTCACGATTACGAGTCTGGTAGCCTAACCACTAGGCTACCGATGCCACTCCAATTTAGTAAGAAAGCCAGCCAAATTCACAAGCACCGTCTTACACTGTAACTTCTCCGTGCTCTGCTGAGCTCCTCACAAAACAATATACTGAGATTGATTGATTCTGGAATGCATCATTTTCCAGGACTTTTGCCTCAATTCGACTTCTCATGCATATAGATCATACCTCATAATGCCTTCTTCACTATTTGAAAAGCTATTGGGAATACAATACAAAACATCTAAACCTTGTTCCATAATTTATGGTACATGTACCACTTAGGATTTATTTTTTATTTTTTAAATCTTGATATGAACAGGCCTATTGATAAAAAAAATTATAAACTTCAGCCTTAGAACCATAATATTATCTTTATTCAAGGATGAAATTTGCAGGACACAGTTGTTTTTTTTGTCTTGATCCTTATATGAATGCAAATTTGAATCCATGTGTCCAATCTGCCTTCCTTCTCCAGTTCAGACCATGCAGAGTGCCTTGAAATGAAGCTTTAAAAGCTCACAATCTCTTTTGAGTGGACATTGCTTTAACAGAAAAACAAAAATACCCTTTTAATTAAGTTCTTTTTTTTTCTTTTCTTTCTTTCTAGACTTTTGTTCATCCTCTGCAGGATTTGGTCCTATCGTTTGTTTTTATTTGAAACGTTTTTTTTAACCGGAATTAAAAAGAAGACATCTGTCCGTTTTTGCCAACTGGAATCAAGGGTTTTCGAAGCCTGTCTTTTAAGCCTAAACAACTGTTTATGTGTGTGCATTTGTGTGTGTGTGTGTGTGTGTGTGTGTGTGTGTGTGTGTGAGAGAGAGAGAGTGTGTGTGTTTATGAGAGAGAGAGGGGGGGGGGGGGAGAAAATAGCTATAGAGTCCACTAGAGAGGTTGAGAGAAGAGACAGAGAAGGAGAGAGAGACAGAGAGAACAAAGGTGAGAGAGAGAGAACAAAAGAGATTTAGATAGATAGACCGAGAAAGAGATATAGATAGACATACTGAGAGATAGACAGGTAGACCAAGAGAGAGAGAGAGAGAGACAGACAGACAGACAGACAGACAGAGAGAGAGAGAGAGAGAGAGAGGAAGAGAGTCTTGTTTTGGGGCTGCAGAAGCGGAAATATGAAGTAATTTACGGGGCAAACTGACCATTATAATTATGTTTTCCTGGCAGTATAATGCGAAAGCTCGATACTATGCCAACTCTTCTCTGGATAAGTTCATTGGTAGCCTTAAATAGCTTTGTACAAAGGAGAGTGGGCCGGTTTCTCCACTGAGTTGTTTTGTTATTGTTTTCACTGCTGTGCTTTGCTCGTTGTGTTCGTTGCCCCTCTCGGTCAAAGTCCAGTGCAGTAATAGTGATAGCAGCCTGCGTACCGGTCACATCATATCTACTAGATCTAGATCTAGATATTGCTTAGTTTGTTCTCGTAGTTGCCTGACTTTGGTCTGAGTTACTTGTTCTGTAACTGTAAATGCACATTTCGGATTGTCTGAGTGACCGAGAAAAAACATTTTAGAATTTTAGAGTGGGGATCGGTCGTTGGCAATCGTATCAAAAGATCCTGACACTGAGTTTGACGTGTCTCGGAAAGATGTTTCCCAGGATTTACTTACAGACATCGCCAAAACTGCCATCATGTGTTGGAGCTGCAAATGTGAGTGGTGTCATTCATGTCATGCAAAGATCTATGCAGGCTAATCTACAAGATAGCATTTTTATGGAGATTAGCCTGCAAAACTGTCTGCATGAACATAGATCTACATCGACGGATCCAGACACAGGCCAGCTGGCCCAAAATGTATTCATTGCAGCAGATCAAAGACATTTATGCTGCTTATTTCGAATTATCAATATATACAAATCAGAAACATGAATTTGCATTTTCATAGCTTAGGATTTAGTCTGATTATTATGTTGTGGCCTGCCTTTTCAAGCTTTACATTATATGTTATAAAAGCCTATTAGAAGGCTTTGGGTTTATTAGCCTATAAAGTAGCCTAAATAAATAAAACAAATGATGTTTAGATCTAATCTAGATCTGTAAAATGATATAGATCTCTCTCTCTCTCTGAACCCTCTCTCTCTCTCTCTCTCTCTCTCTCTCTCTCTCTCTC